GGGCAGGGTGTACCCAGGGCGAGAGCAGGGCAGGGACGTGCGTCACCTCTGGAAGAACAGGAGCACCCAATTTTGGGGAGAAACCCCCCAAATCCATCCTGAGGAAGCTGGACAGGGGTGGAAGGGTGACCAAAACCCCTCGTGTCCTCAACACTGACACCATCAGCCACCACCACTTGTGACTTGGGGACAAAACAAAGCCCCCCAGCTCTGGGTGCCCTCGGACCCCCATGGTCATCCGGGGGTGACATTCCGGAGCTGGGTGACACTGGTGCCACCAGCCACATGCCAGCGCACGGGGCGGAGGCCCCGGGCCGAGCGCCAGGGGTGGCTTTATCAATTAGCAGGTGGAGGTAAACAGCGCGGTAATTACAGCCAGGGAGGAGGATGCTAAACTGGGAAGGTGTTACCGACACCGCTGAGGACAGGGATTAGCCCAGGAGGAGCGGGGGGGACAGATCTGGGGGGGTCTGAGCACTGGGGAGGGGGGCAGCCCCCACCAGTTGTCCCATTTTGTGCTGGGGTGGATGAACGGCGGGGTTGAGGGGTGGCCCGAGTGAAGGGGATCCATTTTGGGGTGCTGATGGGTGTCRGGGCAGCCAGGAGGGTCCCCCACATCCCCGTGGCGGTGTGGGCAGGGTGAGGAGGATGAGGAAGAGGAAGGCTGGCCTGGGGAAGGTTTTGCCGGCGGTTGCTGCTCCTGTCCCTGTCCCCACCGTGCTGCCCCACGCTGTCACCTCGGGGTGCGGGAATGTGACAAAGCAGAGCTGCGACAAGCCTGGCTCTGCCACCCCGATGGCCACGGGACTCGGGGACCCTCTGTGTCGTTTGTCCCCTGTTCCAGGCGTGTGCTGAGCGGGCAACTCCGACCCCCTCCTCCAAAACGCTCATCCAGGGATGGGAAAAAACGGGAATGGATCCACACGGTCCCACGGGGTGGGAAATGAGGGTCRGGCGCTCCAGAACCATCCAGGCCTTGTGTGGGTGCCATCTGGCAGCGGCAGAAGCTGAGCCAGAGGCGAGGAAACAGGGAAGGATCCCACCAACATCTGCAGCTGCAGCTGCCGAGCRGGAGCTCCTGCCTGCGCGTCCTCGTCGCTCCCGACCCCGGGGACGCGCTCCCGGCTCTCGGGGCTCCTCCTGAGCAGCAAATCCCATCCCGTGGAGAGCTTTAGGGTCCGACCGCATCCCGCAAAGCCGCGAAAACCCTCGGCGGGGAGCGGCGAGGTGTCGGTGGCCTCCTCAGGACCGCGGCGCTCCCGTCGAGGAGGCAAAGGCGAGGAGTTGTGCGGAGCTGGTGCGTGACTGGAAGCCCTTCCCTCCTCCCCAGAACGCAGATAGCCCAGAACGGGCATGCAAAGTGCCGTGTTTCCGTAGCAACCAACATTTTTTCGTGCAAGGTGCTGCACGCACTCCCCGCGCTTCGCCACCCAAGGGTGCTCCTCACCTTCCCGCCCGGCGGGATGCCCGGGTGGCACAGCGGGGTGCCCGGGGTTTGGTGGGCTCCTGCCCTCCTCCTCCTCCTCCTCCTCCTCCTCCTCCTCGCCCGCAGGAGGAGCCCAAAGCGTTGGTGGCACCTTGGGTGGCTCCAGGCTGGGCCAGCGCCTTTGCTGTGCCCGTTGCTGGCATCTCCAGCGTTTTCCAGCAGTGCCAGCAGCATGGCACAGCACCCCGGGGTGACGCTGGGGACCGGGGTGGCTCCGGTTCCTGCCATCCCCCTCGGCCCATCCGAGCCGCGCAAGGGGACACCGCGGGGACACCAAAGCGTCCCGCAGCCCCTGGTGGCTGCAGGACCTCCAGAGCACAGAGGGGACAATGCCAGCTCGCCCCAAACCAGCCTGGCACGGTCACCAAACGCTCGAGCACCGGGAATCCCCGCCGAGACACCGGAGCCCACCCGGCGCAGCGCCCGCGGGCTCCAAAGCCAAGTCCCCGATGCCATGAGATGCCATCCCTGTGCCCTGAGTCACCGTCAGCCCCCGGATTCTCCCCAAATTTAAACCTTTCCAAGGCTGGGAGCTCAGCAAACACCSCGGAAAGGCCGGAGCAGCAGCTTCTCCAGGCCCGGCTGCAGATCCAAACCAAAACCCAGGAAAATCTGACAACGACGCCAACGCCTTCACACTCTGGGAACACCGGGAAGGACGCGGTGCCAATGCCAGCTACCAGCACTGCCAGCGAGGCCTTGGCAAAGGGGACATTTCTGGAACGTTCAACCGGTCACTCTCCACCCCAGCACGGACCGAGGCACCCCCAGACCCCTTTTCTGGAACCCTCCAGGAGCCTCCATCCCCATCTCTCGGGGGAAGGATCCAAGCACCGCACGCCACCGCTCCAAAAACATCCGAGCGCCTCCAAAACTCCTTCTCCCACTCGTTCCTCGTGCCCGTGCCAGCGCTGAAACCCGGCGGGTTATTTTTATCCCGAGCGATCCGGGGCTGGGAATAAAAGGGAGAGCTTTTTTCCTTCCTGGTGGGATATGCAGAACTCAGTGGGTGTGTGTATATATAAATATATATATAATATATATAAATATATATAATACTGAAAAAAAAAAAAAAAATCAAATCCCCAGCGGGCGCTGCTCCCCGGGCGAAGGGCGCGGGGGCATTACCGGCTGAAGCGGCGCGATCCTCTTTGGTGGCCCAAAGTTATCCCGGCAGCCGCGGAAGCCGCCGGCAAAATGGTGACGGGGTCAGGGCGGCGACGGCGCRAGTGGGGGAAAAACGGGGTGGGGGTCAAGGGCACAGCAAGGACGTGGCGGGGTTTTTTTTTTTGGGGAGTTGGGTGGCCCCATTCCCGGTTGGGTAGCCCCCCATCCCGGTTAGGTTGCCCGCTAGCCCGGGAAAGAGGGGACGCGAGGACGGAGCCGTTCGCCTTCGGGGTCACCCAGCCGGGTGTCACGCTGTGCGGTCCTGTGGATAGAACTGAAGGAGAGGGAGGGGGGGACTGAGAAAAAAAAAAGTGGGTTATTTTTTTTAAAAAACCATGTAAAAAAATAATATTTAAGGAAATACAGCACTAGGAGAGAAAATTGCATACAGACAGGTTTCAAAGTCGCCCGTAAAAAGACACAGCACCCACTTCCCTGCACATTTCAACCCTTTTTACACTCCCCTTACACATTAAAGCCTTTTTTCTTTTACTTTCCAAACCAATATAGAACATTTTTAAGCAAATAAAGATATTTACTACAGATTTTGATTGTCAGCAAACACAATATATTTACTGCATTAGCATTTGCTCACAGTGCAAATGGTACAACAATACATCAGTTCAATATTTCTGATTTTTTCCCTTAAAAATGCTGTATGCATTAACTATCATATTTGCATTACAACATGACAAATGAGCAAATGAAATGTGTGTGAAAATTATCACCTTTTCACAATATCAAGCATAATTTTTTTTTTAACCTTAGTATAAGGTACTATAAATCCAAGAAATAAAAACATCCACAAAATATATTACATCTGGTATGATTTTTTTTTCTCTAAGTACTCAACTTTATACAAAAGTCTTTCAAAAAATATCATTCCCTTAGGTTTGTGTGGTTAAACCTGATTGTGGTTTGTTTTTTTTTTTTTTGTTCCTTTCAGTTCACATAAATTAGACTGCATTCTTCCTCTTCTCTTTATTTTTTGTATGTTTTTAATGTGTTTTTTTGTGTTTTTTTTTTCACATGCAGACATCAAACCTGGATAGCACGACCTTTTGGCAACAAAGATTTTTTTTTCTTTTTAAGTCATTATTATTTTTGCTTAGTTTAGCTTAAATGTCTGAGCACAGTTTTATTAAAACAAAAGAAGAAAAAAATCAGAGCAGTCATGCAATGACATGCACATACCAGAAGGAGAAAGAAAAAAAAAAATAATAAAATAGAGGACTAATTGATTTTTCTCCTCCATAGTTGGGTGGTTGTTTTAAAGTGACCAAATAAAATAAAATAAAAATATCTCACATTATAAAAAGTATTCAGCAAAATACTGGGGTGCTTTTTTTTTTTCCCTGTATTTCAGTAAAGAATTTCCCTTCTGCTGAAAACAAACAACAACAAAAAAAAATCAATAAAAAAGGAAAAAAAGAAAACAAAAATAAGAAAACAAACCCAAAAGCTGCTGCCGGGACGTAGCTCCCCGCCGCCCCCCGGAGTTGGGGGGACCCGCAGAGCCGCCCCCCGTCCCGCCAGCCCAGCTTGGGGGGCCGAACTGTCTTACCTCCAGCACGGGGAGCCGGTGCTTGGGGACACGGGGGGGACACAGGGGGACACGGAGGGGACACGGGGCCGGGGGGGCAACGGGGGCTCCAGGCCCGGCGGGGAGAGGAGCTGGATCAGTTCCATCCATCCATCCATCCATCCATCCATCCATCCATCCATCCATCCATCCATCCATCCATCCATCCATCCATCCGCTCACGGATTCTGGAGCGCCCAGCCCCGGGGAAACCGGGCGGGACGGGCCCGGGGTGGGGAGGAGAGGGGGTCCCGATCCTGGAGCACCGAGCCCCGGTCGGGCCGAGCCCCCGGGATCCAGGTCAGCCGGGATTATTCCCGGGATCCGCCGCCCGGGCAGCCCGGGAGGAGCCGGGTGCGGGCCGTGGGGTGCGGGAGAGTCGGAGCCGGGAGAGCCGGGATGGGGCAATCCAGCCGAGATCCGGGCGGTGCGAGTAATCCAAGTGCCGGGAACGGGGATCCGGGAACAGGGTGCGGGCAGCAGGGATCCGGGAGAGCCGGCCGAGGAGGGTGCGGACAGCCCGGCCCCGGGCCGTGCGGGATCCGGGAGGTGCGGGAGGGGGCGGCCGGGATCCAGGCAGGGCGGGCGGGCCGGCCCCGGGCGGTGCAGGTGGAAGCAGCCGGGATGTGAAAGGTGCGGGAGCCGGGATCCGGGTGGTGCGGGCAATCCCAGCGCGGGCAGCGCGAGTTGCGGGCGGTCCGGGTGCGGGCAGTGCGGGTCCCGTCGATCCGAGTGCGGGCAGGATCCAGGCGCGGGCAGCCTGGAGCCGGTCAATCCGGGTGTGGGCAGAGCGGACCCGTCGCAGCACGGCCCCGGTATCCTGAACGCCGCGGGGTTCCCCCCGGAGCGGTGCCCGAGGGCAAGGGGAGGAGAAGGGGTGCCACCGCGCCGCCCCCCACAATCCCTCAAGCGCACGTGGTGACGGCGGGGGCGAGGGCGACGGGGGGCGAGGTGGTGGCGGTGGCGGTGGGGGGCGCGGCGGGGGGCTGCCCTCCCGAGCCCTTCTCGGCCTTCTTCTCCTTCTGCTTGAGGTGGATCTTGGCGTGCCGCTTGCGCTCGTCGGAGCGGGCGAACTTGCGGCCGCAGAACTCGCAGGCGAAGGGCTTCTCGCCGGTGTGGGTGCGGATGTGGGTGGTGAGGTGGTCGCTGCGGCTGAAGCTCCGCATGCAGATGCGGCACTGGAAGGGCTTGTGGCCCGTGTGGATGCGGAGGTGGCGGGTGAGCTCGTCGGAGCGGGAGAAGCGGCGGTCGCAACCCTCGGCGGGGCAGGCGTGGGGCCGCTCGTGGAGCGGCGTCTTGCTGGGCCGGTTGGGATACTTGCGGGGTCGGATGGGCTTGAGGGTGAGGGGTGGCTGCGGCAGCCCCCCGAAACCCGGGTGGATCTGCTTGTCCTTGAAGGCCTTGATGGTCTCCAGCGGGGTTATGGGGGGCGGGTTGACGCGGATGGGGTCCAAGCTCTGGAAGGGTTTGTGCTCCGTGATGGTGCCCATGTCGTTGGGGTGGTGGTAGAGGTTATAGTCTGGGATCATGGGGAAGAGGTTGCTGTCCAAGGCGGGCTTGGCCGCCTGGTAATCCTGGGGGGAGTAGGTGAGGCCGGGGTTGCTCTGGGGGTCGTGGAAGGAGACGGGCTCTGGGTAGAGGTCACTGCAGGAGGAGTAGGGCGGCAGCGCGGGGTACATCTGGTCCACCTCGCCCTGCGGCGGCCCCATGCTGCCCGCCGAGCTCTGCGTGCTGGTGAGCGCGCCCGAGGACGGCGGCACCCCCAGGATGCCGGCGCTCATCAGGCTGATGATGTTGTCCTGGCACCAGTTGGAGGGCGAGTCGAAAGCGAATTTCCCCAGGTAGGTGACAGTCTTGTTGCCCGGGGCGGGTTGAAAAGTGCCCGAGTAGGAGGACAATTCCTGACCGGCCTTTTCGTTCGCTAAGCCAATGTCCATAACATTATCTGCAAAGTGCGAGAGAAGCGGGGCAGGGTGAGCCGGGAGGGCCCGGGGGGAAAGCACCGGGGACGCGCCGGGAGATGCTCCGGGGAGCGGGGATRCGCCGGTTCCCCCTCGCCCCGCTCCCCCCGCTTCCCCTCGCCGCTTCCACCCCGCGTATGCGGCGCTGCCTGCCGGGGGTCCCGACGATGCGGGGCCGCCCGCGCCGCCCCCGCGAGGAGCTGCCCCGGGTGGGTGGGTGGATRGGTGGGGGGACACCCCACCGCCGCCCCGCCGGGGGAAGGAGGTACCTGCGGCTACAGGTAGGCTTCCTCCCCGTCCAGCCCCGGCAGCGCTGGGCACTCCGCGGAGCCGGGGCTGCGGCCGCCGACGCCGTTACCAACTCGCCGCCTTCCCTGCGCCGAGCCCCGGCGAGGAGAAACACGGGGATGGAGGGGAGGAGGGGAGGGGGGGGGCGGTTTAGCCTGGCGGGGCTCCGCGTGGGAGCGGGGACACGCGGGGAGCACCCGCCCCCGCCGCCCTCGGCGCTCACCTGTGCCCCCCAGATCCTCCCTCTCTCCTGTCCCCCCCCCGTTTTCCCCAACCCCGCGCTCCGGGAAAGTCGGCGCCGCGTCCCGGGGAACCCACGCTGCCGCCGCCGCCGCTGCGGGGTGTGGGGGGGGGGCGGCTGCCACGGCCACGCGCGTCCGCGGCGCCTCCGCACCCGAGCGGATCCCGGCGCGGGCGGGTGGCCCCTGCGCGACACGGGGGTGCCCGGCCTTCCCCCCCATCCCTTCGGCCCTCCAGCTTCTCCACCCGGGTCCTCCTCCCCACGGAGCCCGGCCGCCGTCCCCGTACCTGCGGCGGCGGCTCGGCGGCGGCAGCGCTCGGCGGAGCCCTGCAGCGATCGCGCGGAGACACGGCGAGGAAAGGGGTGGGTGGGTGCGGGGGGGGGGACGCTCCCCAGCCCCAGCTCTTCCCTTCCCTCCGAGGCTCCATGACACCCTACCCACAGCATCCTCCTCCTCGCCCCACCGGCTCCCCCCCGCTCCTGCCTTTTCCCCATTTTCCTTTCCCCCCCCCCACCCCTTTACCTGCAGCCATCTGGTTGTAGTGAGCCACCGAGTCGCTGGTGCTGGAGAAGATATTCAAAGAGTTGGGGATCTCCTCTGGGTACAGATTGTCAGGCAATTGGTTCATCAAAGTGTTCATGGTCCCCGGCAGCTTCTCCAGTAGTTTGCCTGTCATAGCACTGGAGGAAAAGGCTGGTTCAACGTGGCTCCGAGCTCAGCTCCCGAGGAAACAACATCCGAGTGGCAAATCCGTGCGAGGGAAATCATGC